TTGGAGCTAAAATCTGCAGGACACCGGCCCTCCAGGAACAAGTTTGGTGACCCCTGATGTAGATTGTGTCAGTGCAGCTTCACATAGAAGTTGTAGTAAACTAAACTGTGTCAGTCCAGATTCCAGTTCAGTTCAGTGTGGTTTAATTCAAGTCGCTGAAGAGCAAATTCATTGATACAGTCTTACTGTACACTGCTTAATCTTGGCCAGGATGCTCTTGTAAAAGAAAGTTTTACACCTCAACGTGCCTTTTTTTCTGGTAAAATAAAGGTAATAATAATTAATCACTAATCACGCTGAAACTCCTGCATCATCTGAAGACTACGCACTCAGCACTTCCCCTTTAATGACATAAGACACACGGCGTGTCCATTTCAGCCAGCGCTTTATGAAAACACACACCCAGGCCTGAAACACAACACTGTCACACTTGTTTGCGATGTCTATAGAGCGGCAGTCAGTGTAAAAATAAAACCGGTTCAGAGAAAGCACGTTACGCTCTCTTCCTCTTGGCTTCACATTTCTCATCGTCACCAATCCACACATACATCAGCACAATACAGGGCTGCACGATATCAGACAAATAAAACAATGCAGTATTTGTTTTTTCTATTGACAGTTTTATCAGATTTGGAAGAAAAAAAACAATGATTATTTTAGACTGATTTGGGGTTATTATGTGTGGAAATCCATTGACACACAACATGCATGATTATGCAAATGGTGCTGCAGTTAATATTAATGTCCACTTGAGACTGAAGCACATGACAGAACGAGTGTGTGTGTGCGTGTGTGTGTGTGTGTGTTATTGAATTACTGCTCTCGGGAATATTTCTCACTAATTCAGCACTCGCTGCCTCTCATCAGCTCAATCTGCAGAGCCGGCACACCTACACCCAAACTAAACCACTTTTCAGACCTTTTTAACAAATGGTGTGTTTTATTAAGTGCACTTATTAAGAATTATGGAGCTTCCCAGCAAATTCTGAATTAAAGTGTGTTAAAAAATCCAGAAAAACCTTTTATGCCTAATATATATATATATATATATTATACAACAGTTCTGTTCTCAAATCTGATTGGCTGATGGTCGTGCGATATTCTCCAATATCAGCACCCGTACAGCCTCTTTACCCTTTGTGTATTACTCCGCCCACATACAGCCAGCAAAAGCAGACACTACAGATCTAAAATTTAAAAGATGCACGCTCAGCTGTTTAACTGTCAGCTTATGATTTGAATCCGATGTGGAAG